TGTGGGTCGGGCGAATATGATTTGGGCGGGTCTAATTAGAAATGACTGTGTTTGTAAATTAATTTAGATTATTTAAAATGTGGCCAATAAAGTATCACCGCTTATTTAAGAAAAAAATTAAAAAAAAACTTATTTAAATGAGTGACTGTTAAAAAAATGGTCAATATTGGACCCAAAGGTGGATGTTAGGGGTCTCTAGGGAGCTAATAGGTAGATGAACGATAGTTTTGTACCATTTTCAATAGTTTGAAGATATTTTAGGCTCTTTTCCGTCTATTATATATAGATAGAATTTACATTTTGCATTTTTTATATATAAGAAATAAATATCAACCAAAATAATAATTTAAAATTATAAATCAATGGAGAAATGGGATAGTCTTAAATAGACGTTCGTTATTATATATAGGGAAAAGGGTTAAAAATACCCCTAATTTTTTTTTTATTGGTTGACTATGCCCTCGCTGTTAAAATGATGTTATTTTTATCCCTACCGTCTACAAACTTGTCACATGTACCCCTCAATTGGATGGAAAATCTCAAATCAACAAAAATAACCCGATTTACTTAAATTGATCAATTTTAACCCGACCCACTAATCATTTTACCCACTTATATTCATTTTCATTTTAAACCTAATTTATTCACCATCTCCATATTTCATACTGTTCATCTTCATCTCACCAAATCAAATCCCCCTTGAAGCTTCACGCCTTCTTTTCCGTCTTTTCCGCAACTCCCATCCCAAGCATCATATCATTGCCATTACAGGCAATCCCCAACTCTCTTCCTTAGAACCTCCCCCAAATCGGATACTTCCAGCAACGTTAGATGCAAAATCTCATTAACTATCGCTGATACTCTCTCTGATGAAGCCGACTTTGATTTGTGAACTGATGTTGTGAAATTTGAACTGATTAGCGATTTAGTGAAGCTGTAGAAATGGGTTTCAGAAAATTTTTGCATCTTGGACTGTGAAATTTGTGAATGCACATAATAACATATTACATAGATGACCGACCATTTACTAAAAGTTCGATGACATATTTAGACATTTTTCCTTTTTTAATTTTTTTTTTCAGCCTTAAAAAAGTGATTTTAAGCACATTTTTAGTTACCCGAACACCTCCAAAGCTAAAAAATAGCTTAAAAGCCAAAAGCCAAAATCCATTAAAATTAAGAGGGTGTTTGCATTATTCTGAAAGTGTTTGATAAATATAAAAATAATAAGTAAAAAATAACTTAAAATAAGTTAGAAAGTGTTTGACAAAGTTAAAAATAACTTAAATAAGTAAAAAATAAAATTAGGTCTCTCCATACTTTTTATTTTTTGACTTACAAACTACTTTTTTTAAGCTAATTCAAACGGGCTCTAAGTCAATCCAAACACCACTTACTCTAGTCCATATGTGAATAATGGAAACAAAATGAAAAAAAATATATCGCGTATTTGAAACGAATGAAGTAATGAATATACAAGTTTAAAATGCTATTTAAAAAATAGAGTAATGGATGAACATACAAACTAAAATTGTTTTTAAATTTTTGTAAGTAATTTGAAGTGAAATTGTGAAAACAATCAAAATTAAATGAATTTTGGCAAAATTCCTTGACAAGATTCCTCATACGTTATGTCCAAACGTTTTTTGAAATAGAATTTTGACAAAATTCCTTAAACAAACAGTTAATTTATTTCAAGGTTGAATATAAATTCTTTAAAACAAAATAAAAATTCAAAACTAAAATTGTATATATATATTAATCAAACTGAATAATTCTTTACAACAACACCTCGCATAATGCTAACATTTTCCACCTAGTCATAATTTCCTAAAGAATTGACTACTTTTTTTTTTAAAAAATAATCATAATTTTAAAAAATTCAAACGACATATTCAAACAAAATTTCAATCACTAAAAATTGAAGAGATAGTTTAATGAGGCAGTTTGGGTTGGTGAATCTACTAAGTAAGTCAATCAGTCAAATGCTTCCCCTATAATACAATAAAATAATTAAAAATAGAGTTGAAGTCCACATTCTCCAAGTATTGAAGTGAATTCAAACTTTATATTTGTCAAGGAAGAAATATAATTAGAGTTATACATACGCTTCCTTCATTTCCCTTTGGTTGAATTTGTAGAGATTACTATTCTAGTAGGCGTTGGTGGTTCACTTGTTTTTTTCCATCCATTAATTGTACCACTTGTACTACGTATAGATTGGACTTCCCGCCATAAATATTGAATTATTATATTGAGATTAAAATTTTTAATCCTATATATATGTTCGATATAATAATATTTGGTATGATATTTTAAATTTTGTTAAAGTCTATATATATAGTCAGATAATTGTATATATGCAATTTATATATATATATATATATATATATATATATCTGGCGAGCGAGACTGGGAGAGGAAGAGAGAGGCGAGCGAGAGAAGGCAAGCAATGGAGAGAAACGATCGCATTTGTATATCTGTCATATAATTGTATATGTATAATTTGTATATTTATAAGCAAGGAGAGAGACGGGAGAGAGGAAGAGAGGAGAGACACACACATAATTACAACTAAAATTAATTTGCGAGCGATAATTAATTCAAACTATAATTATGTATATATATATATATAAAATTTCTTCGACGTAATTGGAACATTGACTATCATATCTTGAATGAAATATTTTATTTTTGTTGTATTTTGATTAATAAGAAATTATTTTTACTTTCTTTTTATGGTGTTAGTATATGATATAATTGAGATATATCTTGCAAAATCAAAGTCGTAATTTTCTATTACTCTATATGATTATGTGTAAATGATAATAAATGCACTTTCATCTATCATTTTTATTTGTCATTAAATTAAAAATAAATATTCAATTTGAAATATCAAGAGATAATTTATTATTTAATACTTGTTTTATCTTTATTATTAAAATTAAAGATATTCATTTCCTAACATTTAATTAATAATAATTATGAATGATATACTAAAAATATTATTTTATTTATTCTATTTTAGAAGACGTATCAAGTTAAACATGAATAAATAAATATTGCCGAAGTGAGTAATTGTAAATCTAATGTTCTGTACTTGTATGTTCGTGTTAACGAGGGATTCGAAATTCACATTTCTTTATCCGTATTTTATGTACGGTTATTAAAAAATAATAAAGTCATTGAATTGAATGGCGGCTTCCAATTAATAGCTCTTAAATAATTTAACAGCTTTTTCTCAACCGTTGAAAATTATCATAATGAATTGGCAGACTTTTTAATTTCTTTTCAATTTTTCAATTAAAAAGCATAAATAATTAGTAGATCGTTAATTAGTTGAACAACTTTCATGTAGGTACCAAACTTTGTATAAAAGGAAATACTACTACTTTTTTATTCTTCAGAAGATATTAATTAAATGTTCAAATAAGTTCGAGTTACGTTATTTTGTTTTTTAAGAAGAAAGAGCTATCAGGTACAAAGAGAAAAAAGAGAGGAAATTTTGGAGGGAGAAATTCATAATTAGGTACATGACGGTGATAGTTCAAATAAAAAAGGGAAATAATTAATAGTTAATATGTATTTTAATGTATAGATATATTTTGATATAAAGAAGTGATAATTCATGAGGAAATGAAACAATCAATGATTGAGATGTAAAACTAACGAAAACATGATAGTCTAATATATTTTTGACCATTAACTCTTATAAATTTAATATTTGAATTTTAATATCACAAGATTGCTTAACATAGCATCTGATTACACAAGGAAACTATGATTGATTTTATATTTATAAATGATTAGAATTTTTTTATTTTATCATAAAAATTACTCTACCTTTTTAATTATTCACAAAAAGACACATTTTTTTTAAAGTAAAAGATCATTTAACTTTGTTTTAAAATCACAAGTTATGAACAATTTTTATATAATTAAAAGGTCATTCAACTTGCCCAAGTACTGTCATATAATATGTTTATTATGTTTCCTTCTAATGACTTTCTATTGTACTTTGGCAAAGTTAAAGTTACTTTTTACTCTCATTCTTATTATTCTATATGACATCTAAATAAATATATGTTTTTCAATTAAAATATATTTTCTTAATATAATTCTTCTATATGACATCAACATATCTATATTCGACCCAACTAACCCAACAAGCCAACTCACATCAAGCATTAGAAATGAGTTTATTGGATTGGTTAATTCGGATGTACATATTGGATTAGGTAGAAAAATCATATTAAGAGTTAATTTTAATTAGAATATAAATATATCGCGTAAGGGTCACAAATCAGAATAAAAGTGGAAACATATGAATTGACCATTCAAAAGTAAATATACATCTAAATTTGAATTACAAAGGAAAATTAGTTGAAAAAGTATAATACAGTAAGAGATAAATATAACTATTTCTATGAATAGAACCACAAATGTGATTTTTTTTTTTCATTTTTAGTATACTTTCTTCATCTCATACTCATTTCGTCAACAATAGTTAATAGTTATCAACTATATTATTTTGGGATGTTTAACAATATTTATCCATTTTATGAAATCAATAGATAATTTTAAACTTTTAACTTAGTTCATAATTTAATCTTATCATTAATTATTATATTCAAAGAGTGATATAGTAAAATTGCATTTCTATTTATAATTTCTTAAGAAGTATGCAGAGTCAGACAAACATTGTTGGACAAGGAGAATAGTTGATAAAGATTTTTTTTAATTAATATCTTTTTAATTTAATAAGATAGACAATTAATATAGAACAATTATTTTTCATTAAATAATTCAACTAATATTGAATGGAGAGAGCAACAGACCAGTAAAACTTCAAGGAGTAATAAATTGAAAATTGAGTTCCCATTTGTAGAAAATAAAGTCAAATTTGCTTTGGAACTTCCATTACTTCTTTTTTGTCATAGTTGTTCAACAGCCAAAATTTTGCCAGAAATAAAAATCAAAACTTGTAACTGCAAGCAACCAACCATAAAAAAGACCAAATCTCTCTCTCTTCATTATTTCTCCCTCTGTGTTGTTCCTTTATTTAAAATGAGATTTTAGGACTCTGTATAAATAATCTTTCTAGACTCCATTGACTTCTTCTTCTTTGTATGTGTTCAACATTTTACTCCTATATTACATATACCCAAATTGAGTGTTTAGCAAGAAAAAGTATTGTACATTTGGGAATTGCAGTTTTGGGATAAATGATGACGAATTACTATGAGGTTGTGAAATCTACTTCATGTGAAGATTCTTTAAAGGCAATTGAGGCTGACATTCAGTATGCCAACTTGCTGTAGGTTCTCATCTCTTACTTGCATCCTGTATCTTCCACTCTTTGATTTTCTTCCGGTTTGATGAATTAAGTTTCTGATTGGGCCCCAAGTAAAGTCATGACATTGGCTCCTCTTACGCAGATTTTGAAGTTGAAATTTGAAAATTTTAGTTTTTGATATTGTGTTTGGACATGCATTTTACCTGGATGTTTTTTTTTTACTTTTGCAATTAGAAGTGAAATTTCTCACGAAAATGGGTCTGGATTAGTTTTTAGAACTCAAGTGTGATTCAAAATCTATGATTAGACAGATATTTGGTGATAATTTCCATAATCTATCACCAAACGCTAGCTTCTTTTTTAATTTTAAATTGGTTTGGGACAAGGTTTTTTTTTTTTTACGTTAGTTACAAAGATAAAACATATGTTTACTAGTACTTTTTTTTCTCGCCTCTGTAATTACTACTACTATTTTGTTTTATTAAATTGAATTTTTACCCTTTGTCCCAGTTTGTTTTTCATGAAAAAGTAAAGAGGTTGCCATAGAGAGGGACTAGAGCTTGCTAAATGCTATGTCCTTTGCATTTACAGCATGTGAAAGTAGGAAAAGGCTGTTGAATAACAGGAAATTATTGTGACCAATAAGGTGCGTTGAGAATCATGAGTTCTCAAATTTAAATCATAGGGAAGGCAAACATTAATTGATTACTTTCCATTTGCCCAAGTCCTAATGGACACGGCTATCTGGTACCTATGTTGATAGGAGGTAGCCTTGATATTGGTGGAGTTGCACTCAAGTTAGTCTGGACACCACGATTATAGAAAAAAAAAGGAAACTATTTGATCTTGAACTTGTTTTCTTCTGTTATTGTAAAGGTCTCAGAATAATACTTTTGTAAGCTGTATGTGAGTTTGAAAGTCTTTTATATCTGCAATCTTCAATTTCCTTTCTATGGTTCCTCCAAACTTTCCATGTTTAAATCACTGGGGATTTGCTTGTGATTTGTGTAGCCAATTACTTAAAGGTGTCACTGGACAAATCGTTGTTCCGACTGTAGTCTTAAACAACAAATATTAACCTTTTGTCCCTCTAAATTACGCGTTTCAGGGCAGCTTCTATTCCGAGGTTCAAGAATGGTACTTGTCTACAAATGAAATTGGTGTACAGTAACTTGGCACCGGTACTTCTGTTCTTGCTCCAGTGGATGGATTGCTCATGCACATGCTTACTTCCAAGTTATTTCAATTTTTTCCACATAACTGTATACAAGGTTTGTTTCTCTATTTTCAGGCTGTTAATTTCTTCTCATGGTACTAATTTAAGATGATATTGTTATATTCGATACGTTGAAATTAGATTTGTGATGTTCTTTAGGTTATCCCCAATGGGAAGAAGAAGATTCCTTCTGATGCTAGGAAAGCAAGCATTAGAGAATTCTATGGTACACACCATTTTTAGGCAAACTTTTTGATATTTTTCGTTTATTGTGTTTCTCCATATTTGAGTCTAGAGTTTTTCCCTAACTATAACCGTATATGTGTGGACTATGGACACTTATTTCTTTGACATATACCAATTTGCAGCTGTTCTATTACCATCTCTACGGCACCTACATGATAGCTCATCAGAGCAGGATAGTCACGACGAACCTCAAGTTTCAAAAATGATTGTTGGGAAGAAAGTACAAGAGAATAAACATTTTGATGCTGATCTAGAGAAAGAAAATGAATGTGGGATCTGCTTAGAACCGTGCACTAAAGTAGTTTTGCCAAACTGCTGTCATGCTATGTGCATTAGTTGCTATCGTGACTGGTAAGCGATATATATATATTCTTGTTCTTCATGCTCATTATTACTTTATATTGCGAAAAGGATAAATTTTCCGGTGATCTTCTTAATCTGTGTTATCTGTTGCAGGAACTTAAGGTCAGAGTCCTGCCCATTTTGCAGAGGAAACCTCAAAAGAGTGAATTCAGGGGATCTGTGGGTTCTGACAGGCAGTAACGATGTCGTTGATCAGGCAACTCTTTCGAATGAGGACATGTTGCGTTTCTATCTTTACATAAACAACCTGCCTAAAGATATTCCAGATGCAATGTTCCTAGTTTATTATGAATATTTGATATGATTTAACTTCTGAAGTAATTAAGATAAGAAGTTTAACATACAAAACAAAGTCTGTGGATAGTCATAGAGATATTCCAGTAAAGTCCTCTAATTCCTTGACAAATCATTCTTCCAAAACATTTCTTGTTAACTTTGTGCTGAATAACTACATCCTTGCTGTAATTTGTAAAAGATGTTGAAATCAGCAAAGAGATTGTTACCTCACTTTCAGCACTCTAACAAGTACTTACTATGTGATTTGTAAGCATTTCGTCTGCATCTATGATCAAAATCTATTGCCATTACATGTATCTGTTGAATTTTTTTCCAAGTCATTGAAAAATTAAAGATTACGCAGAAAATCAAACAATTATGATAGTTGATGCAACACCTTCAGCAGTTGTTTGAGTTGTTGCAGCAACTTCACCAATTGCTTGAGTTAATGCAACAATTGTTGAAATTATCGCAGCAAATTTGCAATATTCAAACAATTATTGAAGTTGTAGCAGCAACATCGACATTTATTTAATTTTTGCAGAAAGTGAGGCAAAGAAGTTGAAGGAAGCAAAATCTCTGGTTATTTTTGTGCGAAAACAAATTACATGGAAAAATAGGGATAATTGTATTTCATAGCCAGTCAGTACAAGTATATAATTATACCCTGACATCAGCTGTAATCACACAACACATTGATGGGCTGAAAATAGAAATAAGCAGAATATAATTGACATTAAAACAAAATACAACTTAATTAAATTCAACATTTAAAATTCATCAAGTAAGTTCCCTTCCATGTCAAGCAATTGAATTAGTTGTCTCCTTTCTCTCCTCTCTGCAAAGATTCAACTTTACATAGGTTAGATGAAATATTAATTATTCCAAATTTATGTGACACTTATTGTTTTTCGAGAGTCAACAATTTAAGTTTGACCGGAAATTTGCGTATGGAATCTTCAATTTTTTTGAAATGAAATTTATATATTTGTAAACTACGTAAAAAGTACTGTAAGTCACAATAATTGACAATTCAAAATAATTAAAAAATATATGAAAAAATTACGGTCAAAGATAGACTTATTTGAATCTCAAAATTTGAAAAGTGCCACATAAATTGAGACGGAATACTACTTTTTAAAACCAATAACTTTTAATTTTGTGTTACCTCTCTCAGTTGTTCTTCTTTTCTTAAGGTAAATGCAAGATCCTGCCAAAACAACAGCCAGTAGTGCTATAACACCTATGACCATACAAATAAGCTTGGTCTTCCAAGTAATTTCCCCTGAAAACACAAAATAGTTTGGTCAAAACTCAAATAACAGTGCTTTAAGATTATTAATATTATAAGATTAAGATTTTTAAGTTTTTTTCGAGTTAATATCTCATATGGTTACTCAACCAATACTTATTTTCATAGAATATCACTCAACTTTCTTTTATAATCTTAAAATCACTCAACTAAGGATTCTTCTTTGGGCAACTTACACAAATTCCACTACTTTAGGATCTAATTACTTAGATTCACACTAGTTTGCAATATTACACTACTTATCATATTTTGGGTCTTGGATACATGTATCTTCTCTTTCATATACATGTATCTCGTATCAATTAGTGTGTCTAATTAAGAGATATAATTAAAAGTCATTAATTAAGAGATATGATTGAAAACCATTAATTAAGGAGAAAATCATGTTGCAACAACTTTAAAAGATATGACATATTCCAACTTCTAAAAAAATCAAATTTTTTCTCTCTTTTTGGGCGATTCAGCAAAGTTTAGACTTTTTAACTCAGACACAAACTATTATTTAGATACATGCATATATTTTGTCAGATACATATACACTGATAAAAAACTAGATACATATAATCTTAACTCAATAATGTGTTAGATACGACAATTATGTGCTATAGATACATGCGTAAATCTTCAATACATGCGTATATTTATTCAGATACATTTACATTTAATTAGATACACTGGTATATATATATCTTAACTCAATAATGTGTCAGATTCATCATAACTTCAATCCGATCCAAAAATTCACTTTCTCATTTTCTTCCTCGTTAAGGTTTATCTACAAAGTCACTCAACAATTTGAATGATTATCTTACCTACAAAGTCATTGAATAATTGATATTTTATTTAGAAAATCACCCAACCAATTTAAATGAGTTTTTGATTAAATTTTAATGAAATACAATTTTTTTTTAAAATTATTATTTAAAGATAATAAGATGCTCATTTTAATTATTTTAATAATTGTTTTGAAAACATAATTTTTGTTTTAGAATAATTTCTTAAAAAATAATGATATGATCATTTTAATTATTCTTTTAAATTTTATTAAAACTTAATTTTTGTTTTAAATTAATTTCTTAACAAATAATAAGATACTAATTTTAATTATTTTATTATTTTTATATTGGATACACAATAGTGATTATTTATTTAAAAAATTAGTTTAAAATAAAATTTTATTTTCAGTAAAATTTAATAAAATAATTAAAATGAATATTTTCTTTTTTTTAAAAAAATTACTTTAAAAGAAAATAGTAATTTCAGAAAAATTTAATAAAATAATTAAGATCATCTTATTATTATTTTTAAAAATTCAAAACAAAAATTGTGTTTCAACAAAATTTAATAAAATAATAAAATGAGCATCTTTTTTTTTTAAAAAAATAAAATAGTTTAAAACAAAAATTGTTTTTCAACAAAATTTAATAAAAAGATATTTAAATTGATCGAGTGACTTTCTAAATGAAATATCAATAGTTGAGTGACTTTGTAGATAAAATATTTATATTTGAGTGATTTTGATCTTTGAGGTTAACAGAAAGTTGAGTGACTTTTTTGTGAAAAAACTAGTAGTTGAGTAATTTTCTGTGAGAAGAATGTTTAGTTGAGTGTTTTGAAATTATAAAAGATAGTTGAATGATTTTTTATAAAATAAAATAAAAACTATTAATTGAGTAACTATATGAGATATTAACTCAGTTTTTTTTTTCTTATTAAAAATGATCTTTTTGAAGTAAAATTAATTTAACTTGAAAGACGCGGGAACATAGAAGGCCTCCATGTATAAACAAGCTCCTAGAAGTAAAATCACTGCCTGCAACTTAACAAGTTACCCTTTCGTTTTAATTTGTTTGTGTAATTAATTTTTGATTTGACATGGAATTTAAGAAAATAAAGAAGATTTTTAAATCTTACAGTTTTAAATTAAAAATATGTAGAATAAGAGACAAAATCTAAAATTTCTAGTACATGAGTGCACAAATAAATAACAATACATTGGGAATTAATTCCTAGAACATATGTGTAATAATATTTAGGCGGAATGATATGATGGACCCTTGTAATAGTTTAAGGCCTTTTCTCATATGGTGGATAGTGCGTGTAATACAACTCCTACGTCAAATTTCACCTCATTTTTAACTGCCACGTAAGAAATAAAATGGTAAAATTAAATTAAAGCCCCAAAATTTTATTTGAAAAATCTTTTTCTCTTCTTCCAATTTTGTTCCAGATTTCTCTTCTTTATCCTGTCTCATTCAAAAGGCTTTCACCAGTAAAATGCAGTACCAGCAAAATCGACCGTACACCATAACGTGGTGGTGGGCTACCACTCGAAGATGGAGAGGGTGATTGCGCCACATTCGATTTGGAAAAAGTAGTGATGGCCCCAAACGATTGCGATAATCACTCCAAAACCCTAGATCTCACAAACAATCAGTTTTCGTCCAAATTACTCAACCCTCAGATTCTCTTCATTCACTCATCCTCCATCCTCCATGTTTTTATTTTATTTTATCCTCTTTGTAATTTTGGATCAATTTAACTTTTTAGCTTTTAATAATTTGTTCAGTTAAGAAAGAATTTTGTGTTTTGAAGATTTGCAGAAATTGATGTGATTGATGGCTCCGGCGATGTTAAGTTTGGAGGAAACGAAATACTTGTTGAAGAATTGGACCGATAAGTCCATTTATTTGTTTGGAACAATAAAAGAAATTTGTACTTGTGAAATTCTTTGTAGAGTAATAAAGACTGAATTTGTTCAAGAAATAATGAGTCCTTTGAAGAAGATGAAGGCAACCTGAAACAATGAAAAAAATTGAGAAAGAATTTGGAGATAAGTAGAAAAGTCCCAAGAAAGCTTTTTTTTTTGTCCAACAATGGTAAATGAATAAATGGGGAAGAAGATGACTCTTAGTTAGGTCAAAACTTGACATTTTCAATGTTTTTTTTGAAGACCTCACGTTCTTAAAATATGTGTATCACACGCACTTTGAACAAGAATGCCACATAGGATGACAAGTCAAAAAAAGGGGTTTAAAATATCAAGTTTCTATAGGTTCAGGGGTTCAGTTGGTAAAGAATTAAGTAGAAGGGCCCAGAATACAAACTCATACAAGTACATGGATCCATCAGACCATTTCGCCTAATATTTATACCAAAATTTAAAAATATATACATAAGACCGCGAATTCACGCACCTCATTTTTAGCATCTGAATTCGCCCCTATGTGGAATATAATATATTAAAATGCCCTTTAATTTTAAAACATAAAGTTTTAAACATATCATCTAGAAAATTCGAATTAAAGAGTCATAAAAATGGAGGAGGATATTTATGTTAAGTTTGCCACACGAAGGCTTGAAGCTCAAGCTTCATCAATGGAACAGTAGAGATAGAGATGGAGAATTGGGAAAATATCTTCCTTTTCAAATGTATAGTGCTAGATCGATGATTATCTCTCTAACTAACTCAATAACCACCTCTAATCAGTTAATTAAGCAACTAACTAATACTGATCCTAGCACAGAACTAATGTTGTACCTTCTTTCAAACAGATTAAAGAGAAAAGTAATCAAGACAAATAAATTGAAACAGAAATAGTAAACGAGAAGATCTTATATATATTTTGAATAATTACCTTGGTCTTTGTCCCCCGGTGTGGTTGATGGCGGTGGTGGTGCTCCCGTTCTCCATTCGTCTTTGCCCCCGGTGTGGGTGATGGCGGTGGTGGTGCTCCCGTTCTCCCTTCGTCAGGATTTTTGAATTGATAGCTTAAATGGCACCTCCCTTCAGGCAAGCGCGACAATCTTCAGCTGACAAATCTGGTATACACTGCACCATGCCATACAACTTTTGAGAGAACGACAATGGTGTAATTTCATCAAAACTTTCAGCATATTTCAGATTATTTGTAACTTT